AATCACACGAAAACGTGATTTTTGCCTGCTTTGTAAGCACGGCTGACGAAATGGCAGTTTTCGATCAACTGCATGCTGGTCTTTAAAAATTCGCAACTTCCCATCCAAAGGAGGTGGCAAATTGAAAATTCTAGACAATTTAGAGGGCTTTTGACTCGACTGAACCTGAAAGTTTCAGTCAAGTTCCTTTAAAACGTAATTTTTGGGCTAGTTGCAAGCACAGATGAAGAAGTGGGAGTTTTCACTCAACTGCACGCTCGTCTTCAAAAATTCTGATCTTCCCATCCACTAGTGCTAGTAACTTAAAACTTACCGCGGGTCTACAAGCAGGTCAATTCTGCAAACTCTGAAAGTTTCGCTTTAATCACGCTTAAAGAAGACACTTGACTTRACTGAAAAGTTCCATTKAAATCACTGAMATTTTGGGMTRGATTTTTACCAAAATTAAAACGAAWGCGAATTTTTATAGGATCCATCATTTTGGGAGCCATCAATGTTGTCAGTAAAATATCTTATCTCATCGCCTTCCTRAAAAGTTTTTGMYGAAACTTAGGTTTATTCAGTGATTCCAACACTTTAAGGAAAKAGAAACACGACGGAAAAATCTAAACMCTTAAAACAGATCTTGGCTCGCAAACGGCTGGAAAAATTCACGACTTTTGCTTCAAAGCGCCTTRAAATCTTMAAAAACAAGCGCACAGAAAAWKTMATTTTTGAACCAACCTGAACCCTTTTCCTGAAATATTCCWGGATMWTTTTTKAGMAAAATWCMSTAGGAAGAGGACATTCTTTATATGAGTTCSTSAACTGTGGATCAGCTATTGAGAAGAAATTGTTTCCGCAGAYGTTGAAAATCCGCATACTATTTCTTATGAGGCGAAGATATAAATCAGCAATTTAACCGAAAACTTTAAAGCTAATTGACTTCCAGCAGCATGTACGGGAAATGTGTTTAACTGCAACGACAATACAACAAATTGCCGGCAACTGCAAACTTTCCTGGCTCCACTAACAACAGCTCCATTATGCGACTGTTCCTCTATTAACTCTTCCCAGTTTTCGTCTAATAAATGATTTAAGATCAAACTTTCCAAAAACTTTGCAGTTTCGTTTAGGCAAATTTAATTTTCCGTACAGCCCTTTCTTCAAGTTTACCAAGTGCTTTGCCAACAAAGCCATCAAATTAGGTGCAAATATTAGTTGGACTGGGTTTTGCTGCAGCAAACTGGTGCAGTATTTTTTTGCGCCCCCGAGCGATCTGCACACCTGGTTCATATTTGAGGAGAAAATCTGCTCGAGTGATTTGTTAAGGGCGAAACACATGTGAAAGGGGAGACGATTTCCTAAGAAAACATTTCCTCCAGGTTCATTCAAACAGCCCTCACTGTCGTTAGGGCCTATTGTTCTTGTCGCGGCATACAACACTCTTTCCGTCGTTGAATAAAGGCCTGGAAATTGTAATTAATTTATTTTCGGTTCAGTTTGGAGTTGGTTTTTGCCGATTTTAACCTTGGAAAGTTGAGACTACAAAACTTGTTTTGTGCAGGTTGTTCAATGGCTGCAGCTAAAGCAATTTCTGGTGTTTACCGTGCATGTAAAATGCCACGATTTGAGTGGAAATTTTGGGTCTTCTTCGCTATCTTCTACAATTCGCTGCATGAAAAGTTAGAATTTCTAGAGCTTTTAAACTGGCTCTTCGGGAGGGGGGCATTATGAAAGCGGTGATTCATTCAAGAACCTATTGATTTTTTGYGCCTTTTTGCCTCAACTAGATTCGTCTCTAGATGATCAATTGGCACCTAAATTATTGCCCAATATTKAAAAGCACTGTACTTTGATGTCAMCTTTGGACTCAAAGAGTCCAAAGCGTTGCAAATTTTCCGGGTTTACTTTTATTTATTCTAGTTAGACTTATTCCATTCTCTGCAAACCTTCCGCAACATTTTAACCAGTTTGCCTTCAAATGGCTTGTTGTTTCTTGCCTTAAAGCTGGTAGCAATTAGGGCAAAATTGCAAATAGCTACTAGAAACCTAATGCCCTTTAAAGCCCGACATAATGGCAAACCATCTAGTTCCAGCATGGCTAAATGATAACCGGCCAGCAAGGCTTTTTATACGCTCTATTAAATTGTGCGAGTTTTCGGTTAATTTCGCTATTTATTCAGCTAATGACCGGTTTGATGGTGTAATTTCCATTAAACACTTTGTGCAGTTTTCACAGCTAAAGCTTTTACGGGAGCGTTTTTACGTGGAAATAACCAGTTTCGTTTTTTCTGTTGCAGGTATGCTCGGCGAATTAATTGCATGTGGCATCGTTACGCTAATTTGGGCGGTAAGTTACTTTTTGCCAAATTGCCTACTGACTGACTAATTGCATTGGGATTCCAATCAACAATTGCTCGATAAATTCGCTATTATTTAAACAACGTTAATGTAAGCACACAACATTTGTGCATTGGAAACTCTATTAGAGACCACTTTTGTCTCTTCCTGGGAAAAAAGGCAAGTTTGCATTTTGAACAATTTTCACAAACTTCCAACAAACTTCGGGGAAACTAGATTAAAGTCGCCGCATTTTCCGTCGAAGACAAACAACACCTGCGTCACCAACCGGCCATCCAAACCCAACTATTTCCTCGGCTTTCCGCGAACTTTTCACTCCTCCACCAAGCGCACTAAAGTCTGTTTACCTCTTCAGTTCTGTTGCTTTATATTTTTCATGTCACGGCATAACCAACATTAACTTAATAAGGAGAAAGAGCCATCGCCATTTGCGACTTAACGAACGGCGGAAAACTTTCAGGGGCATTTTATTGATATTTATTATTCTCGGCGGCATTAATCTGGAAAAACTGCGAACGCAGGAGTTGTTTTTGTTATCATTACACGGCATCATTCCGTTCGCCTCCCGAGGGAAGCCAAAGTATGAATCTTATCAATTTTGTTGTTTTTCCTCCGGAGAAAAGGCTTTTGTAGTTTTCCTGCAGCTGTTCCTAAGTGCGAACTTACATCGGAAATGAATCGGCATTTAAGTGGCTTTTTGACTGTCCAAGCAAATTCAGAAAATGCTCCCAACTAGTCACGTTTTCCTGCGACAATTTCCCGGAATACATCATTAATTAATCCGGTCCGACTTCTGTCGGCCCTCCAGGAAGTTCATCAACGAACCGTGTTCCCGTCTGGATGCACGTAAAGGAACAATTCGCTTGTTTGTGAGCGTTTTACATCTGTTCCAATTTGCATGGATGTTCCGGTGCTACTTTCGAGACGATCAGCCACCATCCCTTTATCCGCACGTGGCCTGCATGAACATCCACGTGAGTAAAACCTAATAAGAATATTAGGAGAATAAAAAAAGGCTTTTCCATTTTCCATCGCAACTATTGCATAGGGAATAGTCATTTTCTGCTTCAGTTTCTTTCAGTTAGAAGTTTCGCTTTCTGCCAACACCCAGCTTGAGGCATCAAGTTTATTTTTGCGAAAATGGGTTTTTCAGCTCATTTCAACTTTCCACAGTTCCACTAGGGTTGAAGGTGGCTGATGCGAAACATTTGCATCTAAAACTGCACTTGATTGATCGGCTCAAGTTGATCCAGCTTGCAAGTGCTTGTGCAAACCCTAAAAATATGGAGTTTCACATGCGTTTTCGCGCAAAAATCGCTCTAGATCTGTCGACATCGAACAGATTTTATGCTGAAATCGACTCAAAAGTGAAAATAAAAATCGTCCGGTAACTTTTCGTCCAGTTCAGCCGAAA